TTTGGTTGGGGTGGTTGGGGGTTTCTTTTGTTTGGGGGGGCGGGGGGGCTGGCTTCGGGGGGGGAAATTTTGCCCCCCCCCCCCGCCCCCCCCCTTTGCCTGCCTGTTTTTTCGCTTGTTTGCAGTCGTCGAGGGAAGAGCGCGATGCTATGATAGCGGCCAACCAGGCGGCGGTGAACACGGTGCAGCAGCTCGCAAAGATGCACCAGAAGCTGGAGATGCAGCAGCTGGAGAAGATAAGAGACATCTGCGAGGCCGCCCTCGAGGACATGGACACCCTCCCGGATAAGGTACACTAGCGTACCTTGAGAACACAAGGCAGTAGTAAGGTACAATGGCGCGTTTAGAGAACACCACAACATAAGGTACAACAGCGAGCATTGAGAAAACACTACGATATACGGCATGTAGCGTACGTTAAAGAAAACGCCAAACCCTAACCCTTAACCCCAATATAAGGTAGGTAGCGAGTCACCAGGTAAAGGTGCACTAGCGTACGTTGAGCAAACGTACTGGTACAATGTTATATTCGGTTCAGTCGCGCACATTGACAAAACACCACGTAAGGTAAAAAAGCTCACGTTGAGAACCACCACAAGTGTGTAAGGTGCAACAGCGTACGTTGAGAAAACACCACATAAGGTAAAATAGCTCACGTCGAGAAACACCACAAATGTAAGGTGCAACAGCGTACGTTGAGAAAACACCTCGTAAGGTAAAATAGGTCACGTTGAGAAACACCACAAATGTAAGGTGCAACAGCGTACGTTGAGAAAGCACCACAACACGAGGTACCCAAGGACATGTTTGGCAGGGTATGGATATGCTTGGTAGGGTTTGGAGGTCTGTACAGAGCGTTCCGAGAATTTCGGTATGGTATGGAAGTCTGTTCAGATCGTACCGAGACGCTCGGTAGGGTATGGTATACCGTCGGTATGCCTCGGTACGTACCCTACCGAACATGCCCTTGCAGAGGTACGATAGCTAACAATGAGAAAACACTACACATCAAGGTAGTAGAATTTACATGAGTGCATCTCCCCCCCCCCCCGCTTCTCCCCTCATTTTTTATGTCGTCAAGATCCGCTACATGAAGCCGCTGCTGGACGACAAGTTCGTGGCGTACATGGGGTACGCCATCCAGACGGAGCGCGAGGCCGTCGATAAGAGGGGGCTCAACCCTGACCGGGAGCCGAGCCGGTGGCTGCAGGTGCTGGGGGTGATCCAGAAGGGGGTGATGGCGGAGCTCCAGAAGAGCGTGCACCAGGACGTGGAGGTGGGAT